AACTCAGTTAAAAAGGGAGTAAACTAAGAACGCACAAACCTTAAATTTTAATTGAAACAAAAAAAATTCTTTCTAAAACTTATAAAACGAACTACGAACGCCATACATGACCTAAACATGCACTAGCTGTCGCCCGTCACTTCATCCGCACGGAATTAAAAATAATTCGTAGAAAAAAAATATTAGTCTATGTGTTCTTCCAGGCTATGACATGATCATGATCAACACATTATGCGTCTTAGCTGAGTTGCTCGGAGCCTACCTCAAGTTGGGGATGACTGTACTATGTTATTTGGCGCGTGAAGCCTGTGTGTCCGCGTGCCAATTTGTGTTGGACATATTAAATTCGGTAAACAACTACTTATGATTTTTTTAATAACTAATTTCATTGTATATAATGTATAGACTGTATATATATATAATTGGGCAGCAATTGCATGAGCCATATTAAGTTAGATATATAAGGTGCAAGTTTTGTTGTGAAGTTATGTTACATATAAGTTTATTGTGTTGTATAGCAGCGTTGTCTAGTACCAAAACATAGAGAATAGTGTTTTTTTCTTTAAGTTTCCGACTGAACCAAATCATAGTAGATATTGTGTTTTAACACTGACGAATAAGTGAAATAAATTGAATCGAAATGTTATGTTGTGTTTTATTTTTCATTCAATTCTACTTTCATGAACAAATTGATTGTTTTTAGGGTTCCGTAACTCGAAAGGAAAAAAAAAGGTCTTGACAGACAGAGTGACGGACAACAAAGTGATCCTATAAGGGTTCAGTTTTTTTCCTATGAGGTACGGAACCCTTATAGGATCACTTTGTTGACCGTCTGTCTGTCAAGACCCTTTTTTTTGGTTGTAAAATATTGGTCGCGTGTAAATGAGTTTCGTTACATACCTAATTAACCGACCAATATCGGGAAAAGTAACGAAGGTCAACTGCAACTTCGAGTCACACATAAATCTGACGCCTTTCGTTCATTTCCAAAGCAGGTTTCCGTTTCTTACGTAGCATATCGTTTGAAATATTATAAGGTATTATTTAACAGGTAGGTAATTAATTATCATAAAGACAGACAAGTTCATTCATTTATTAAGGAGTTTAAAAAAAACAACTCAGTTAAAAAGGGAGTAAACTAAGAACGCACAAACCTTAAATTTTAATTGAAACAAAAAAAATTCTTTCTAAAACTTATAAAACGAACTACGAACGCCATACATGACCTAAACATGCAGTAGCTGTCGCCCGTCACTTCATCTGCACGGAATTAAAAATAATTCGTAGAAAAAAAATATTAGTCTATGTGTTCTTCCAGGCTACGACATGATCATGATCAACACATTATGCGACTTAGCTGAGTTGCTCGGAGCCTACCCCAAGTTGGGGATGACTGTACCAAATCTCATCGACATATGTTGTGCCGATCTTAAGATACGTTCTAACACACTTCCATGCATCCAACTAAACAGTGGCATAAGAAAAGAGACTGAGAAAAAAATAAATGGCTGTATCTATTGATTGCGTTGGCTTAGAAGTTTGATTTTTTCATAGTACCAAGAGACAGTAGACTTGAGTATTTGATATAAATTGTAGCTTGATACCTTCACGCGCTCCTGACAAAAAGGGTCTTGACAGACGGACGGACACCAAAGTGATACTTAAAGGGTTCCGTTTTTTCCTTTCGAGGTCCGAAAACCAAATGTCCAACAATTTATATTTCAAAGTAAAGATCTTTCACTGTTATTAAGATGAATTGACACGTTTTGTTGCTAAGTGAAATAAATCAGTAAGTGAAAGATAAATCAGAAGGACATGCGTTAATAAAAACGTTGCGTTGTCGCAGTAGAGTCGCACAGGAAACTCTAATGGTCGAATTTGCATTTATATGATTAGGTTACGTCCGGCGATGGATTGTACGAGTGGCTGGGAACACAAACAGCGCCTGCGACTATTTATTCCCGCGACGTCGCTTGCACCATTTGAATATAAAAAAAAGGATTAGAATTTTACCCTTATGTTCATTTTGTATAGTATACCATACATACAACTTTATAAAAATATACGATCACTATAAAATAATTTTTAACTTAGTTTTTTTTTAACTTTGTTTTTTGCTTTTCTTCAAAAAAGAAATCTTACCACAATAAGGGTTAATACATACAAACAGTATGTTTGA